TTTATTTAGTCTTGCCCCACCTTCTCTAATTGCAATTGAGGGTGGAATTATCTGATTAGGTTACAAATTATTACAGTGAATGATGGCATTGTTTGTGTGATCATGATTTCTATTTTATTGATGCACTCAGACAATCCCAACCCTGTATGAGTGGCTTTCAAACTGTAAAATTAGTCTGTGACAATTTGATATACTAGTATATACTAATGCAAAATGTGGAAATTTAATTGGCTGAGCTACTTGTATGCTATCACGGATCACAAACTAATTATAATCATTGTTAAATCAGCAAACATTTGCATACATTGTATTTACAGGAAGAGTTTTTGGCCTGCATATGCCCAAATAGGTATGCTTGGTGCCGTATTTGCAAAGGTGCCTGTCGTCGCACTAACTGCAACAGTAACTGAGCAAACAAAATGTTATACATATTATTGTTGTTATTATGTTATACAAAGTTCCCTTGGAATGGTGGATTCAGAAATCATTGCAGTGAACCCCAACAGGCAGAACATTTTCTACACCTGTTCAACACGACCACACACTGGCGATGACAAAATCAAAGTGCTGCTTCTTCTGTACATAGCGGAACTACAAGTTATGAGAGAGAGGATGCTCCCTACAGTGATTCACTCCAATTTACATACTGTCATTGTGGACATTGTATATTGACAGTTTAATTGGAAAATTTTACCTCAAAACAGTATCCCTTGGTTGATGATTTTCTTAACTTGGCCTGTCTACTTGAAAATGTATTACTACTACAGTAAGGATAAATTATAGGTTGACCACTTGTTCTTGGAAAGTGAAAATTTCATTGCTTATCCCCTGTTTCGTAAGTGATGAACACATTGTATACTTCCTAATCACTGTAAACTTAGACTTTATCCATAAGACTATTATTGTTTAGGTTTCCTCAGTTACTATGTTTTTAAGTACCCATGAAATAAAAAAATCAAGTCATTTATTTAAGAAAACTCGAATTGCTCCTTGAGGCTTGAAGAGATGGATATATTTTTCTACCCTCAATGTTGGTAAAAAGCTCTCTTCATTTTGGTGGATTGATTCCGAGTCTCTCACTGATTAGTTGTCAGATGGTAAACGCAAACAGAATATCTAAATGTCTGTTTTAAGTTGCCCATATATGAGAGTTGACAATTTAATGTGTATAGTTTTATGCAGTGACAGATTTGTTTTAAAATTGGTGCCTTGCTGAGACCTGGTTTTGAAAACCCTAATTTCAACTAAGTCATTTAATTATACCTGACTGTAAAAGGAACACTTTCTAACGTTTTGCATCAGTACATAAAGCGATACTACAAACCAAAACATCTAATAAAAGATTTGTTATCTAACTGCTGTAGTCAATAAATTTATCAATCAAAAGGGAGAGTGTGACAGTTTTGCGTGCGCGCGTTGACCTGTACGGCAGACAGGTTTTCTACTAAGGTTTTCTAATTTCTGGATAATAAAATTATCTATGGAAGGCAAAACTAAACGATGCTATCTTCCGAAGGTCATAAAAACCAAAACCGTGTTATCCGCTACTAGTGAATTCACTTAGACAGTTGGCGAGACAAATTCTAAAGATTCTATGAAAGAGCAAGATATATATATGCAGGACTGAAATGTCATAATGACCGTTTAGAAGGACGTCCTAGCAGAGGATATGGCTGATTTAGCAAGAGAACGGGAACGTCACTTGACGACGGCGCGCACAGTACAAATACCCAAATACGGTCAAATTAGAACAGAATCCAGGTTATTCCGCGCGCCCTGCAGTCGTCATCTGATCATATTTGGGTATTTGTACTGCGCGCGCCGTCGTCAAGTGACGTTCCAGTTCTCTTGCTAAATCAGCCTATAGAGGGTGGTACATCTCGAGAACGTTAGCCTACATTTTTCAAGTTTGTCGATTACAATCCATCTCAGCGTTCTCATTCTTATCCAGTCTTGTTCACGTGAGTTACCACCTTGGTTGTTTCCGTTGATTCTTAAGAGTATATTTTACACATTAAAAAAAGTGACTTAATACACAATGGCTTGTCCTTTTAAAAGCACCATGTCTCGTAATTTGATGTACTTTTCCGATTTCTACTTTTTGTACATTAATACCCTAACAAGAATGACACTTCACACTCTCTGTACTGATCTAGAGTGCAGTGACACCCTTATAATAAGGGTTATAGGGAGGCGCTGAGGCCTGGACCGCAGGCGACACTGTTTGATCATAACTCGGTTGTGGCATGGCGATCCTGGTGGAGTGCACTGGAACACCAGGTTCCGGGCCGTATGGGGAATATGCTGGAGTAGGAGCATTGTAAGACACCACGGCGGGCGGAGCTACCACTGGTTGGACAGGCTGGTTCTTGGGTACCCTGCCTCTTTTACGGAGTTTGACGACTATAATTGCTACTACAATAATAGGAATTATTACTCCAATGACGATACCACCAATGGCTCCACCCGACATTCCACCCTTGTCGTCGTCATCATCATCGTGGTCGGGGTCCTTAGGAGCATCACTGCTTCCAGGTGCTCTTGCGCCTGAAGAAACAGATAAATCAATTAGTTTAAGGTAACCAATCACATCAAAGCATATGGTTCTAACAGGAGAATTCCTCTTACTAACGGATATTTCAAACCATATGTCTCGTAACATTTTACTTGTAGTTATTATCACTCGATCCATCAGTGCCTCTCCCCCATCCAGGTGTATAAATGGGTACCAGCGAACTTCATGCTGGGGGTAATCCTGCGATAGACTGGCATTCCATACGGAGTAGAGTATTGGAGTAGTCGCTTCATGCTACAGAATCCGGGATACACTCCGGTCTGATGGGCCACTTGGCTCGCATGCAGACTTTACCTTTACTTTTACCACCTACTTCCATAATAAAGGCAGCTGCACTAATTTAACTTGATCACTCGCAGTCAAATTATATATTTTGCTATGATTTACATTACGTGCTGAAGAATTTACAGTAACATTATTAGAAAAGCCCCCAATTCTCTCATAAAAGAAGGTGACCTCAAAGCCCCTGAGTGAATCATTGCGTCCAATGTTAGCAATAAGACAGAACTGCTTCTTACACAAACTGAAGAGGAAGAAATTCACTGCAACCTACCTTCCTTGCCGCCATAACAGACGTTGATATCAGCGCAGTATTTGTTGGAAAGTGGAGCGTCGTTTTTGTCTCTAACGCACCAATAGCAACCCACTACCCCGTCACATGACCCTGAATCTGTCTTCTCGTTGCATTTTGGGTCAAAGCATTTCTCTAAGCCACTTACGGAAGGATCATTAACCTGCTCGGATGGAACGACTGTCGCGGGCACAGGACAAATAGAAGTGCTGCGAACGAAGAAAAAGGTAAAAGACATCGTTTTTCGTGGAAGCCACGTTTACTTGTGTAAACTATATATGTAGAGTAGCACCTACACCAATTGGTGATTTGAAACCATTCCCGAGAGACTCAAATGTCAAAGACCGTGGTGACCATGTTGGATAACAGGAACAATTGGGGCTAATTTAAATTACCGTAAATGATCGAATTAGCGCCTTCCCTCTAAAAAGCGCCCCCTTACCTCCCCCAATTTTTGGACGAGTAAGGAGACAACAAAGAATGTATAGTTTTCGCCGTGTAGTATTAGTATTGTATTTTGGGAACACGTTTAGATTGGAAAAAAAAAAATTACAAGTACTAACGGTGCCGTGATTTAAACTTTAGGATCAGCTTTTTATGTCGATAAACAGCTTATGTTGTTGTTTACGCGCAGACGATGTATTAAAAAAATGATCATGTCAGGCTACGATTTGGGAAAAATTAAATAAGCGCCCCTCCCTAGATTAATCACCCCCCTCCTCGAATAAGCGCCCCCGTCTTCTCCTAAATTTGAAATAAGCGCCCCTAGCGCTAATTCGATGATTTACGGTATTTTGTTTATGGTCATCCAAAATGGCGACGATGACTTCAGTTGCAAACGATCCTTAAACACATCACATACTGCCATTAACCCCCCCCCCTTCCCATGAAAAATGCCAACCCTGAGCTTCAAAACCTAACTAATATTACTAACAGCATCGTACGCTTGCGTCGATCAAAATTGTGACAGAAAACAGCCAAGCCTGAAAACATTAGATCAAAGACGTGACTTTTCAAACTGGTTCAATAAACGACTTTGTTTCTAGAAACCTTTGTGAGATGAATTTACGACAGTGTAAAATTCCGACTTTGAGTTCGCCTGTTACGGAGAGGCGCAGTACAAACAGTAGGTGTCTTTTCTTACTTGCTGGTTGGAAACTCGCTTCTACAATAATGGAAGTTAAGTCGCGAAGAGCATGGACACTGGCAACTCAAACCCTGGACACTGGAGCATTCTTTGTTACTGGAACACGTGCAAGACCTGGAGTAGCATGAACTGTCACGTGATATGATTCCTGATAAAAGAAAATACGCCAACAACGCGGATCAGGTCAAAGTGCAAGCCTGTTAAAAAATCCCAATAAAATGAACTGACAGATTATTGCGAAGGAATCGGTTGAAATTTGCCAAGTAGCACTTTCTGTATTGGNCATTACCAACTACTTATTAACCGAGAGAGAGGTCTCAAACCGAGACCTTGCCGTATTAACCGGGTGATAGGCGAGGTCAATACGCAGGCAAGGCCGAGGTTTGAGATTTTCCCAGACCGAAAGTTCAAGGTCGATAAGCTGTTTATCATATGGCTGTTTGCCTTGCCTTTGGAAGCCCGTCATCGGCCCGTTGGCATTGCGGCAGAATAATGCGCTTGAATTAACCAATCACAGGGCGCGTTACATCGGCTACAAACACAAGCCATATAGTAAAGGTGAATAATTTAATATACCATTTAAGAACTCTGCTTATTCTGACGTTAACCAGAATCGTGTTTAATATTATTTACCTGAAGGAATAGTTTGAATTCCTAGTGTTTCATCTTTATCGCCAACTGCTACCACAATGCCAACGGTAAAATTGGTCTCTTCAACTGGCAACCAGTAATAGATTGAAGGTATCTCCACAACTGTTACACCTTCATTTACCTGCCCACCTTTAGCCAGAAAACGTTTTGATGAAATACTCTTCTGTCCAGATCCACCACTTATAAAACGGAAAAAAAAGGCAACAGCCACATGAAAATACTTTATGTCCAGATATCTATTTAAGAGTTAGACGATTAATTAGTCCAAATAACAACAATGAAGTAACTGTTATAAATTAATTTGT